ACTAATTAACAACTCTCCAAAAGAGAAAGACATCTCGCTCTAAAGGACACTTTGGCTCTGCAACTAGGTGTTGACTTTTTACAGAGAGGTTGGTTCTGCTGTACAAGTATGTTGTCAACTTAGGAAATGGCCACCTCTGACATTAGGAACAAACACCATGTACAACCGCTTTTAACATGGAGTACATCCTGTATCCCTGGAGTCCTTACAGGGTACTATCAGCTGAGCTCAGGTTTTTTAGCGAGCTTATTACTGCTCCCCCTCTCCTCCTTTTTTTATCCACACTTGGTACTGGTAAAGGTAGAGTTGTAAGAATGGTCATTTTGGTGATTACAAGCTTGATACCTTAATTTGATTGTTGAGTGGAGATAAGAAAGAAGAAGACTATTCTTAATGATAAGACATAAAATTTAGATTTATAGATTATGAATACAAGGTAATAAGACCAAATCCAAACTTATTACTTGGAATTGGTCTTATTACCTCTTGTGTTTAAGACTATTCTTACTAACTAGAAACTCTCCAAGAAAGGAGAAGAAGACACCTCTCTCTAAAGGCTCTGCAACTTGATGTTGGACTTTTACAGGGAGTTTTGTTCTACTGTATTGTTGTTGTTTCTTATCCCCTTGTGTAAAGATTACACGAATTCCAATTGAATGAGGTATAGGAGTGCAGCTTTCGTTGATCATGGCACCATGATCCAGGCACACTTTGGTGAAAGTCTGACTTTGCCTGTAATTTGAGGCCGTTCCTAACATGGAAGCCTTTGCTGACAACTCTAACATGAGTACAAACACAGTTCCACCGTATCCTTGGAGAGGGGACCCTTGCTGAGATCTCTATATCAAGCGGGTCAGTTGAACTCAGGATTTTTAAAGAGGTCTTTCTCCTCTCTTCTAACAATGCTGCTGTTGGTTCGCGACTGCTTATTCATCAGAGTTATTCTGCTTGTTTCACAGCTGGCCTTCATATCTGAAGGTTGTTCCCCTATCTGCCACCTGGGGACATGCCCTGTAGCAGTCAGCTCTGCAGAGGGTTGTTCTACTGTACAAACAGGTTGCCAACTTACCTCCGGACATTTCCCATGGCGCTGGTTGGGTGTGATGATGATATTGGTGGCGACAAAGAAAGCTCCGTTCTCCTACAGCACACATGACACATGTGTGAACTTTCCAGGCAAATCAACACACATATTTACATACTTTACATACTAACTACTGTAAAAACATCTGTTTTCTCTATGTCAAAATATGGTGCAAACTCTATATATAAATATTATTGCGTCAGGTTGTGGTTTGGCAGGTTTGTCTGGCTTAATTTTCTCTTCGCACATCATCTGCCATTGTTCCAGAGCGTGTTTGAACCATAATAAATAAGGGAATGACAAAGCAATCTTCTCCAAATATATTCAATGTTTTATTTCACACCTCCCCCTCTCTACCTAAAATAAGGCACAATTTATCTCTCTATATATAAAAGTCAATGTCTGTCTGTTTGTTTCGCGATAAACTCAAAAACTACTGAACCAATTGGTACCAAATTTTGCATGTCGCTTTTTATAAACCTGAGGAAAATTTTCGGCTACATTTTGATTAGTATTTTTGGCTATTTCTTTTTTTCATTTGAAGAACTTTTTTTTACGCGGAGTAATCCGGAATGGAATGAATACCCAAATATGGCCCTTTTTTATAAGCATCGGTGGTTCAGTGGTAGAATGCTCGCCTGCCACGCAGGCGATGCCGATGCATTTTTTTTTACAATTTTTACAACTCATTTATATTATATATAATATAAATATATATTATTATATCAACTATATTAATTAAATCAAATACCTAAACACTAATATAATACAATTTTTGCCATCACACACACTTTTTTCCTGTAGTTTATCTGTTACTTCTGTATTGCTATTCTATGGCACTTCTAATATTTATTATTGATGTACTTTCAGTATGAAGGAAATTGCAATCGGGGGAATTCTCGGGCGAAGCCGGGTCATACGTCTAGTAGATTATAAACACAAAAATACTCCATTTAGTACTTATGTCAGAGAATATTGCTGTTACAGAAATGTCACTATTTTAACCAATTTTGAAGTTATAACCCAAGTTTGCAGTTATAGAAGGAGATTCTATGATTTTAAGCACAAGGTAATAAGACCAAATCCAAATAAATAAATAAATTGTGTGTGACATTTCGGTAACAGTGATTGTTACCATCATCAGACAAAAGTACTAAATAAGAAAATAATCACAGCATAGGTTATCTATTAATAACAGTAGCTATTTAAAACATGCTGCAATATATTTTTTCATTCAGTTCTTTTGTCTGATGATAGTAACAACGTCATTATCGAAATGTCACACACTATTTATTTGGATTTGATCTTATTACCTTGTGTTTACTTTTGTACTTTTTTTTTGGGGGGGGGGGGGGGGGGTCGGTGGAAGGCTGGTTAAACCGTTTGGTTTTCGACCACTACGACCCAGGTTCAATTCTCGCATTGGACACTTTTTTCTGTTTAAAAAAAAAAAAAAGCTCCAATGGCCCCCGATTCTTGCAAAAGTCCAACCCCGTACCAAAGTGTAAGTAACCAAACAGGGCTCTGGCACATTTGTAAGTGAAAAGTCGAACTGCTTTTCACATGTGTAGACATGTGGTGCGCTTACAGTAAAAATCAGTCGCTAACTACCCACCGTGATTATCATGGCCTGTACCACATGTACTAGGGATAAGAAAAAAAAAACTTTTTTTTTTTCATATATATATACAGTAGAACCTCCCTGTAAAGAACAACACCTAATTGCAGAGCCAAAGTACCCTTTAGGGAGAGATGTCCTCTTACCGGAGAGTTGCTAAATAGTAAAAATGGTAATTTCACAAATGAAAACTGTCCTTTGTAGAGAGGTGTCCTCTAGCGCGAGTGTCCTCTCATGGAAGTTCTACTGTATAGTGCAAAGGAAGTGAAAGCTAAAGAAGAAGTAAAAGGTGGGAAATTTTAAAAAGTATGAAACCAGACATACACCTACAGCTCAAATAGGTACTTAGAGATATCAGAGTGCCATATATCAGAAGGCATGTCAACTAAATGTTGGCTTTTTTTTAAATTGATTTTTCTTTTTTTTGCTTAACCTTAATACACGTGGTACAGTCCATGATAATCATGGTGGGTAGAAGTAGGCGACTGCTTTTACTGTAAGTGCACCACATGTCTACACACGTGAAAAGCAGTTCGACTTTGCACTTACAAATATACCAGAGCCCCGTTTGTTTACTTGTACTCACTGGTGGGTTTGGACTTTTGCAATTAGGTCATTATAATTAGGTTTTAATTAATTATAATTAGGTCCATTGAAGTCTATCAAAAATGATAATCATTTTATCCTTCATAATTTGTGCTTGTCTTAAATAAATTGCTGTCTCATCCCTTAAGTTTTTGTCTTCCCTAATTTTCCACATGGCAATATGGTGGGAAGAGGAGGGGGGTAAGATATGGAGGGATAAGTCCTACACCAGAGATCCGAATGCTAACTAACCATAGGAGGCACCACGAAGTCCGCCACATCCCAGATCCTACGGTACAGGGAGGTGTTGGCGACCAGATGATGAAACTCATCATCTGAGTAGTTGGTGTAGACCACTCCTTTCACCTTGGAGGTGACGGCACTCTCCGCCACGTCTACATCCTGGTAGCCTTTCTTCCATACTATGGCATAGCTGCAACATGTAGACACACATATATGTCGTAAACTCGGGTAAGACAACAAGTGAGTTGGAAGCAGTCGGGGTTGAGTGGCAAGGCGTGCAGAGTGGGAAGCACGGGACAGTAAGGACAAAGTTTGGGATCAAAAGACGTTCTCCTAGTATGTCTCACGTGGCACCAGGACCAGGGGAAAGTTGAGGATTAACTGAGGAAAGCTCGGCGTCCTGCATGAAGCCGCGGAGGCAGAGAGGAGCCAAAACGGCAGCCACGAGGGCCGCCGTAAGACCTAGCACTGAGCGGCCTGTCCAAAAATATCCCCTGTAACCTAACTAACTGTCAACATCCAGACCAACGCCCCTTCTTTGTCCCTCTCTGGATCCCCCGGGTGTCCTGTGGCAAACTGGTGTCACTTTGAGACGACTAGAAAAGACGTCATACTTTATTACTTACATATCACATTGTTTAAATTATGATATATATGTTATATTAAAATATTATTCTATTTAAAATTATATTTCATAGATCCAAATACTGTTAAATCGACCGCCAGAGGTCACCCTATAAAAACTCATTGTTGTTGTATCCTGTTGGCCGGCTCAAATCTTTTGTACATTATGTAAATAAGTTATTCATTTTTTTATTCTTACGCCTTAAGCCAGGCAGTACTTTTTACCAAATTATGTTTTTTATATATATTCCTCAGATCAAAACTATTTTATTATTCCCACAACTGCAGAACAATATCGTAACATACTCATGGATACAAAAATCAAGCAACAGCTAATAATTCTATATACTCTAATTTTCAAAAAACAGCAAATCTTATCTTTTTTATTTATAATATATATATATACACTTTAAAATTCAGATTTTAGTAAATTATGTACTCCAAAAGTCCACAAGCCTAACTGTTCATTACGCTCAATAGTAAACAATAGACCTTCACCAACATATGCCCTGACAAAATGGTTAGCACAACAATTAAAAAATCTACCAATATTTTTCAAATCAAAATGAAATTTTTAACTCCTATGAATTTAAAGAAGATATTATTGACATGAAGCTAAATGGAAATCAAAGAATTATATCTTTAGATTATAAACATAAGGTAATAAGACCAAATCCAAATAAATAAATAGTGTGTGACGTTTCGGTAATAGCGTTGTTACCATCTACATACAAAAGTACTGAATGAGAAATTTTACCACAGCATGGTTTAAATAGTAACTTTGTGCTTATAATATACTTTGTATGTATATTATAATGTAACTATTTAAAACATGCTGTGGTAAAATTTCTCATTCAGTACTTTTGTCAGAAGATGGTAACAACACTGTTACCGAAACGTCACACACTGTTTATTTATTTGGATTTGGTCTTAATACCTTGTGTTTATAATATATAATCCAAATTATAATATATAATCCAAATTGTGCCGTATAATTATATCTTTAGATGTTGAATCCATGTTTACTTCAATCCCTATACCCACAATTTTTATTTTTTTTCCTTATCCCTAGTACACGTGGTACAGGCCATGATAATCATGGTTGGTAGAAGTTGGCGACTGCTTTTACTGTAAGTGCACCACATATCTACACATGTGAAAAGCAGTTCGACTTTGCACTTACAAATATGCCAGAGCCACGTTTGGTTACTTGCACTCGCTGGTGGGGTTGGACTTTTCCAAGAACCCACAATTATGGATGCATTAAACCATGTGATAAAAGAATCAAATATATATATACACTGTTATAGGGTACCAACACACTGTATTGAAGAATGTACAGTAGCCACAAAAGGGTTTTGATATTTAACCAACCTTCATTCACATGTTCAATTCTTGTAAAAGTCCAACCTCACCAGTGAGTGCAAGTAACCAAAATGGTACACTTGTAAGTCTTCTTTCTTATATCAAAGATTTGACAACCATCATGATTGGGTGAAGTAGAATGTGTCTGTCTTTGTCAAGACTGGAACCACTACTAAGTAGCAGGCCACTGACTTATCTTCAAAAGAAATGGCCGCCTCTGACATGAGGAACAGGCGCCATGTTCAGCCGCTCCTAACATGGAGTACATCCTGTATCTCTGGAGTCCTTACAGGGTACTATCAGCCAGGCCAGCTGAGCCCAGGTTTTTTAGCGAGCTTGTTACTGCTCCCCCTCTTCCTTTTTCATCCAGGCTTGGGACCAGAAAAGGTGGAGTTACACTTGTAAGTATAAAAGTCAAACTGCTTTTCACATGTATAGACATGTGGTGCACTTACAGTAAAAGTAGTCACTTACTACCCCCCACAATGATTATCAAGGTCTGTACCACATGTACAGGGATAAAAGACATCAATGATACATAGAAGGGAATAGCATACGCACTAAAATACAGTAGAAACTCCATGACAGGTGACTTTTTGTTAGAGAACAAACTCTCTACAATGGACAGTTGTAATCTCCAATTTTTTTTTTTTTTTACTATTCAGCAACTCTCCAGTAAAATAACACCTCTCCTTATAAAGGACACTTTCTGCAACTTGGTGTTGTCCTTTACAGAGCTGTTCTATTCAACTAATTTTTATTTTAATAAGACACAATTTGGATTATAAACACAAGGTAATAAGACCAAATCCAAATAAATAAATAGTGTGTGATGTTTCGGTAACAGTGTTGTTACCATCTTCAGACAAAAGTACTGAATGAGAAATTTTACCACAGCATGATTTAAATAGTTACTGTTATCAAGTGTGTAAACTTCTTATCTGCTATCTTGTTTACACACTTGATAACAGTAACTATTTAACCCTTTAAGCTCTAGGGCCCGAATGCTAACTATCACTATCAGGACCACACTAATTAAGCCTAAACTGATGATCAAGTAGTTGTTAAGTTAAAAATGTTATAAATAAATAAATATGATGGATAGAAGTGTTCTGTAAAGTGCAATATAATCCAGACTCCTCTCCCAACACACCACTCTGATTTTATTATACTGAAGTGAGTATTTAATTTTTTAATTGGGGGTTAATTATAATTAATTGAATAATCGACTTGAATTTTTCAAAATTAGGTTTCACAAATATAAAAATGAATTTTAGATATATACAAGGCTATTTACAAAGCTAACACTTGTGTTTAAAAGCACAGACTGGATGCAAGCCTCTCTTGCACTTTGAACATATGGTTCTAGACCTCCGCTTCAGGCCTTCTTTTGTACACTCCACACATCTACTCTCTCTCTTTTTGGAAGTTTTTCGAGTACTTCCTGGCTTGTTGAAGGCAAAACTGGAGGTTTCAAGTGATTTTTAACTAATTCATTTATTACTGAATAGTTAAAAGCCCTTCTAGAAAGCTTGGGGTTGTCTTTGGTATGCTGTTCATATAGGATGAAGGAGTTTAGGAGAGCCCTGTGGAAGATGTTGAGAATCACCTTTCTATAAAATTTTCTTCCTTTTCTTTCATCCATATACAGTATAACCTCGTTAATTCGACACACCCCAATTCGACACTCGGCGATAATTCGACCATGTTCCGATGTCCCGACCTCCGGCCTATCAAATAACAAACCGTAATTCGACAGTATCGATAATACGACAGTTCCGATAGTTCGACCATTTTAAAATTCGAATTTCGACAGTTGAATGTTATTTTACATGCAACTTTACCGCTAAACGGTATTACGGCGGCGACGATCGGCATCGGCGGGCGGCGACGATCGGCAACAGCGGGCGTCGATACGATCGCGCCTGCGCACTTTTGGTTTCTGGTTAGTTTAAGTTTCACTTTGCAGTGCCGTTGCGCAATTTCGCGGATGTTATTGTTGTTTTTTTTACGCAGGAATTTCGGCATCATGCCGCTAACTAATAATAATTTTTATTTTTTTATTTTTAACATTGAAATATTTTAGCTATTTTTAAATTTATAAACAATTTCTTTTTAAATAAATAAATCTTTGTAAAATGATCCAACAATGATTATGATAACATTTTATTTCAATATTCCATTTCTGTGTTATTATAAAAGATTTAAACACAAAATCAATAACACCTGCAGCAGCAGTGGATGCCTTTAATACATTAAAATTTATTTATTAAAAGACATTTCAGAGGAAGAAAGGCATGCATGTTTTTTCAAAATGCCATCTGGAATACATCCTGAATAGGATTTCAGTGCAAAAACAGATATCTATAAAGGAATTTTTTAAAAGATCTTCATGATTATTTTAAAATAATATTTTAAAATTTTCTTTTTATTTACCATATTTATTTCCTTTCAACTGCTATATTTTTCAATTAGAATAAAATATTATTTAATATATTATATTTAATATTTTAATGTCTGTAGAGTTAATATTTGATTATATTACTGAAAAGAAACACATTGCCAATAAATTTATTTGTTACAATTATTTATGTTTCTAAAATATATATTAATGCCATTTTGTCACTGATACTAAAAGTTAATCATGAAAATAATATAAAAACACACAATGGTTTCAATTAATATCATTAATTTATATTACAAAGCTATTAAAAAATATATATTTTAGCGAGTTAGATGATTACCTAATCATATAACCATATAACCTTAATTCAACACTTCCTTTAATTCAACCGAAAGCTCTGATCCCTTGGGGTGTTGAATTAAAGAGGTTCGACTGTATGTATACAACATTTGATCATTGAGATCTACCCCTCCCATGTAGCTATCATAGCAGATTTTCATCTGTGGGTAGTCTCTTTGGTCTGACACCTTCTTTTTTCCAGAAGAAGCATCACAAAATGTTGAGAGAAACTTCACTGGAGGTTTGCTCTTCTTTTCTTTGTAAGCCAGGGCCAGTAGATTATTATTTACCATATAAAGGGATTCACCCACACCTAATTTTGCACTTGTTAAGGTTTTAGGAAGTCCCTTCCTATTAGTTCTTATAGTACCAGTCAAATAAGTATGACTGTCCAGTAAGTCCTTGGCTAGGTTGATGCTGGTGAAAAAGTTATCAGTTATCAAATGATAACCTTTTCCAAGTAGACTGGATTCCTGGAGCAGATTCATTGGAACATCACAGGAAAGGGACTTGATAATTGGAGATAATTTCCCTTTATATGGCTTCATTCTCAGACAATAGCCAGTTTTAGATTCACAAAGCATCCACAGTTTGACTCCAAATCGACCATGGTGCTTTTGGGGCATATATTGTCTAAGACGAGTTCGGTTTTTAGGCACACCAAGCTCTCATCAACTGTAAGATTTTGAGTAGGCTTATAATAATATATAAACTTGTTGTTCACATGCTCTATGAGCTTCTCAAATCTTGCAGTTGGGTTGTAATCAGGATGAGAACTTGGAACCAGGTTGAAGTCATCAATCAGAGAAAAGCAGCTGTAGAGCAACTTAAATCTCCCTCTAGACATAACTTTACCAAACCAGGGCGTCTCTAAAAGTTCATTCTTGCTCCAATAGTCCCTGATTTGGTTCTTCTTCACATTGCCCATATTGAAGATGACTCCAAAAAAGGCCATCATCTCATCCAAGGTAGTGTCCTTCCAGGCCAGCTTCCTAGAAAATGGAGGTAATTTGTCCCTATTGCTTGCCAATAAAGTTTGGGCACATTTATTGGTAAAAGCCACAATTTCCTTCATCAAATTCATTGTTATGAATAACAAAAAGTATTTAATAGGCCGGATAATAGAGGGGGGAAGGTGCTGTGGGCCACAAACTTCTCCAAAAGTCAATGTTTTGGATGTGGAAAATGGAGTATAAACTCTTACCCAAGGACTTGGCTGGTTTTCATCCACTTCTTCATCAGAAAATTCATCTTCAAAAGTGTCTTCAACACTTTCTTCAAACTCAGAAGACAAAGAATAAACTTCAGTGTCCTCAGAAAATGCAGAGCATTCTGAACCGGAAGCCATTTTTAAAAAAATTAAAAATAAAAAAAGGAAATCGCAAGACAAAGGAGATAAAAACACAGCTAACGTGTAGAGACAAGCCCAGAAGTGAGAAGGGAGGTGATAAAAATAGCCAGCCACCACCCCCTCCCCCACGAGGGGCCCTACAAGGAAGTAACGATAGATCGGTACCCCGGCGCTCCTGGTGACGTTATAGGGTAACGATGGATCGTTACCTCGGCGCTTAAAGGGTTAAAACATGCTGTGGTAAAATTTCTCATTCAGTACTTTTGTCTGAAGATGGTAACAACGCTGTTACCAAAACTTCACACACTGTTTATTTATTTGGATTTGGTCTTATTACCTTGAATTTTGTTTTTAATTTTCAGCCTAAAAATATACAGTAGAACTGCCTCCCTGTAAAGGACAACACTTAATTGCAGAGCCAAAGTGTCCTTTAGGGAGAGGTGTCCTCTTACCGAAGAATTGTTAAATAGTAAAAATGGTAATTTTGACAATGAGAACTGTCCTTTGTAGAGAGGTGTCCTCTAACCGGAATGTCTTCTCATGGAATATATTCTACTGTACTTTTTTTCTTAATTTATCCACCAGATCAAAGTAAAATTTCACTTTTGTGCTATTTTTTTTACACTTTATTGTTTATGATAAGGCACAATTTGGATTATAGATTATAAACACAAGGTAATAAGACCAAATCCAAATAAATAAATAGTGTGTGATGTTTCGGTAACAGCGTCGTTACCATATTCAGATAAAAGTGCTGAATGAGAAAAAAATATCACAGCATGTTTTAAATAGTTACTGTTATCAAGTGTGTAAACAAGATAGCAGATAAGAAGAAGATAATTTTCTGAGAAATCTAAAATTCAGTACTTTTGTCTGAAGATGGTAACAATGCTGTTACCGAAACATTACACACTGTTTATTTATTTGGATTTGGTTTCATTACCTTGTGTTTATAATCTATAATCAAAATTGTACCTTATCAATACAATGCAATCATAATTAAAAGATACAAAAGATACAACTGTGTGTAAATTTTGGTTACAGTGAGTTAAGTAGTTCGAAAAATTAATTAGATATTTTGTATGTTTATAAACCTCTTAAATATAACTGACATTTTTATTCTTTTACACTGAACTTTTTTTTCATTTTGGAATAACAAACAATAATTTTAAAAAAAGGGTAAAATAATCTATTTAAAATATTTTTATCGTGTACTTCAGCTTTAGTATTAATTAAAAATATGTGTCATCTTTTTTTTATTAATGTTACATAATGTTTGATACACATTTCGTTTGGTTGTAAGCGGCGGCGAAAAAAGGCGCACTTTAAAAGGAAGTAATATGCAGAAGACATTTTACACCGTGAATAATTCGAATAATAGCCTAACTAAGCGACAAATAAATTAAATTAATTATTAGTTATATAAACGGAACTGAACATATTAAACATATAAATATAACTTACCCAATAATATAACCTATAATAGCTAATTGAAAAAGCCTATTAAGAATACCAAAAGTAAGATTGTTTCGGTTTGTGATAGTTATGTATTTCGGTGAATCATATTCGAAAAACCACATTTCAGAGAGCTATCAATAGGGCGGCTTTAACCCTTTAAATCTATATTGCAAAAGAAATCAAAATTACGATAAGAAAATGAAAGATAATTGTTATTATTATTGTTTCGAGTTTGAATGCAATTGTTTCCTTTTTATTGAGTTTATTTTTTTAACCGGCAAAATTTAAAAATAACAATTTTAAATTAAAATAGAAATATAAATTAATGTTGTAATTTTTAATTATAAATGCCTATACTGTATTTAGATAGATACAAATAAAATTGTTTTCATTTAAATATAAATGCAACATTTAAAAATATTTTTCTAAATAATAATGTTGCGTGTGTGTGATTTGAAATACTAATTTGAAAAAAAAAATTATATTTAGTATTTCACAAGGATATCTTCAAAGAATTGAAGAGAAAATTAGACAAATGTTCATAAACTCAATATATATCGAGACCTCAGTTTTAACTTAAATTAATTAAGTATGTTGAAGTTTTAAAAAGTTCCTAACACATAATAAGAAACATTTTAATTAAGCTTGTTCATCTAAAAAAAAAAAAACTCTAATATCGTTATCTTTATTTATTTAAAAGACGTCTTAAAGGACGCTGAAAATGTGTGCAGTATGTGATAATATAATTGAATCTTTTAATTTATTATTGATAGTAATTTAATGCAATGAATATATTTTTAAAATGCCTATTTAAAAATAACATTGATTTCTGAGGAATGAATTAATGAATTAAATGAAATAATATTTATTTAGATGTGTGATATTACCATTATTATTTTTTAGTTGATATATATTTTCTAAAATTACTTGGAATAAAAACTTAATACTACTTAATAATTTTCTACCTCTTTATCAAAGGTCTGAATTAATGACAAATTAACTTTTTTATTTTTTATATTTATTATCACCTATATAAATAATAACACAGTTTCATTTAAAGACATGATATTGGACAATTTGTAGCATTTGTACGCGCAAAAGACAAAGAGGGTCGTTCAAATCATTTCGAGTTTTAAGCATTTATTTATTCCCTTTATTGAGGATCAACTTTGGAATCGTTGTTCAGATTTTTGTTGTTATCCTGAGGACCCTACTAAATCCGAAAGCTCTGACAGTTTGACATTTCCATGTATGTTTCTCTCTGACTCATTAACTGAGAGCTTTGTCTACTAATACTACCAGTCCTACAGTTTGGAAGAAAAGCTTAGAATTTAGTAAAACATTTCAAAAAGAAAATGCCTAGAAGACATGCAGTGTTTTTTATGTCTCTCCACCAAGACTGTATATGTTTGATGGCCATTTTTCTTGTTTATATTTTCTATCCCTCGACTGCATATCTCTGTTGGGTTGCTGTCCCTTATGGGGAAGTAGACGCTGCCATCAGGGTCGGATATGTTCGCATCAAAGTCTTTCAAGCTTTCAGCGGAGTGATGCAGGGTTGCTGCCTCAGCACCTCCTTCTTCAGCACCGAAGTTGGGCTTTTGCTTAGTCTTCTCAAGAGGATCTTGGGCCGCAGTGCGTGGTCACCTATACTGATGACATGTATTCTTCTCTTCATCAGATCGATGCTCAGTTTGAGCTCGTGTCCCTGGTCTTCAAAGAGTTCCATATGGCCTCTGGGGTGGCTGTCAATTTCAGCAAAAGCTGGAATCATTGGACGTCCAGTCGCTGATACTCCTGGGCTGCACGACCTCTGACCGGAACACCATTGCCCCCCACCTGATGGGGCTACTGGAGCGAGACATCGCTAGGTGGTCTCCCTTCACCATCGACCTGTCGCTGGTGTGTCGTGCCCGCGTGGTCAACAGCCTGGTCCTGGATTCCATCCTGCACCACCTCCATAGACCAGCTACAGGCGCAGCTGGCGTGCTTCGTGTGGAAGACGAGCCGAGTCAAGAGACTTCTAGGAGGTATCCTGGAGCGTCCAGTCTCCGACAGGGTAGTGTCGGCCTGCTTGACATGTGGGCCAGCTTCGGCTTGCCTGCCTGAAGAAGGTCTAGGACTCGTTGTGCGGTGCCGCTAACGGCTACTCTTGGTTGGTATGTAGACGAGCGTCGCTGACCCCGCCGGTTTCTGAAGGGGACTTCTGAGCCTCTGGTAGACTGGACTCTGGTTTCAGCACCCTACCAGCCTGAGATCCCTGCGTCTTTTTGGCGAAAACAGGTACTAAGCGAATGTCGGAGACTTCTCCGATGGTGCCCCTTCCTGCACGCACAGCACCTGGGATCCTTTTGCCAGTCTCCTGCAGGAAAACGTCAGCTTGTTATTATGTGGAGCACGAAGCGATGACCATCTATCTTCGGGGATTGGCAACGCCTATTTCTCACTAGACAGAGAGTGTGCTTGGCTCTGGAATAAGTCTCAGCTGCATCCAGTTGGAAAGCTATGTCCGGGATGTGTTCCACTCCATCCTATGGGCCAACCTGTGGCGCAATTGCTTCTCGGAGCAAGAAACAGACATTACCATACAGCTATCTTTCTGCACCCTACCCATCTTAACCATCCTCTCTCTGGAAATGCCACAAGTGTCGCCCCAGATATCGGAATTGCAGAACCATGAGACCCCTTCTCTGGGAGGTGTTCGCCTCCTGTCAACTGCCCTTTAAATCTGCAAGCCTTGATCTTCCATGTCTACCTCCTCCATTCCGAAGCAATTAAGTTCACAAGTGTAGCGAAGGCTGCCATCTCCAAGTATCATCTTGTTCTTGAGTTGGGTAATGCCAGCCATCACATCGACCTGACTACTCTGTGGGAAATAACTCTTGTGGCCCATTAGTATTGTGTGGCAAAGCCTTTCCCTTGGTGGATGTCACTAATAAAGACATTGTATATTTATATTTTCATCAATTATTTATATTTAATTTATGCATATACAGTAAAACCTTCATGAGAGGACACCTCGCTAGAAAACACATCTCTACAAATGACCATTTTTACTATTTATCAACTCTCTGGTAAGAGGACACCTCTTCCTAAAGGACACTAGGTGTTGTCCTTTACAGAGAGGTTCTACTGTATATGTTATTATGAAATATTGCATTAACAGTAAAAGCAGTCACCAACTTCTACCCACCATGATTATTATGTCTTGTACCCATGTACTTGGGATAATAATAATAATAATAAAAAAACTCCACCTTTGCAGGGCCAAATGAAAAAAGAGGAGGGGGAGCAGTAACAAGCTCACTAAAAAACCTGGGCTCAGCTGGCCCGGCTGATAGTACCCTGTAAGGGCTCCTGATCCAGGGATACAGTATGAGCAGCGTTTGTACTCCATGTTAGGAGCGGCTGCATATGGCGTCTGTTCCTCATGTCAGAGTCGGCCATTTCTTTCGTAGTGCTCCCAGTCTTAATGACAAAGGCAGACGCATTCTACTTCACCCAGTCATGATGGTTGTCAAAGCTTGATACCCTAATATGATTGGGTGGAGATAAGAAGGAAGAAGATAATAAAAAAAATTGAAATACAAGATTTTTTTTTATTTAACCATATATAACCTTATATAAAAGATGTAGTTTCAATCTCAATCTCTCAGGTCAATAAAATATTTTGAAATCTCTTATCACCTTGTATAAAGATTATACAAATTCCATGAATTCATGCTCCACGAGCACCAATAGGGGTGCAGCAGCTTTCGTTGATCATGTCACCATGGTCCAGACACACTTATTTTATTAATGTATTCAAAATGGATTTCTTTATTTTCAACATGATTAACATATGTAATTGGTATTAAGATAATACTCTCCCTAATGGCTATAGACCTCCTCCGTACCATCAAAACCCAATGCCTGCAGGAATGGAAATCTAATGCTGCACATGACTGGTACAGAGCAGGGACAAGCACCGGTTCTGTCCTCCCAAGAGAACAACAGTCTTTGAATTCCAGACTTAAGTCTGGTCATCTACGGACAATGACAGAATGGTTGCAAGGTTTTCCCACTATGTATTAAGTGCAATTCTCAACCTGCAACCCCAAAACACATGTTGTTGTTGTTTCTTATCCCCTTGTTGTAAAGATTACACAAATTCCATGAGTTCATGCTCCTCGAGCTGTTTTATGATGAGCAGCGGCCTCTCCCAAAGGTCCTGTTTAGTGCATCTAATGCAAGCCAAAACGTGTTCTGGAGCTGCAGGTGACAAGCTACATTTTGGGTAAGTGGGGTAGATTTTGTTATTATTTTCTATCTTCAATGGCTTGAGATGGCCTGTTCTAAATCTTGTTAGTGTTGTTTGATGCTATCTACTTCTGATGTTCAGAGCTCCTCCTGGGTTCACTCCACTGTACCAACTGTGCTTAGGTGGGATCCTCCAGTTCTTGTTTATTTTTGTTTTGGCTACCAAAACACATTATTGACTGTATTGACTCATCCATTGATGAGCTCTACTCTTCCCCGGAAGACACCATCAACAAGCTTGATATCCTAAAATGATTGAGTAGAGATAAGAAAGAAGAAGAATATAGAAGAAAACACACAAGTTGGGGAGAAAAGCTTCTTGCCATTCATGTCACTTTGTACCAGTAAAAGGACATCTTGCCCAAACACTTTTACAATCGTCATCTTATAAAAGATGCTCTTCTCCCTGACTTGTGTTGCTATTCCTATATGCAATTTGTCTTGTAACACATTCCTGGGTATAGATGGAAAATTTGCCGGGAGGAAATTAATCCATAGAAGCATAGGGCGCCTCTCCCGTCAAAATAAATGTCAAAAACCTGACACCATCTATGGGTAGTTGGAAATTTGTTCTCCAGAAAAACCTGGGTTATAAATCTATCTCTTGTAACACAAACAATTTGCATAATTATATTAATTTACATATATAATTCTAAATTTAAGAAATATATAACAGCAACAACCATTTTTGCATAACAATTTTATTTGCACAATGCATATATATATAATAATAAAAACAGCATATATAAAATATTGTAGAAAAAAAGAACAAAATTTGGCATATTATAAAATGAGATAAAGGTATAAATGTAAATAGAGAGATTGATACAGGATACAAATATGAAGGGAAGTTATGAACTGAGTATGCAAATTGAATCTCTAAATGTATCAT